GCACACTCACCCCCACACACGCCATCCATTTCATCGCAAGTCCATCAGCAGCTTGAGATGATGATGCCACTGACGTCCGAGCTCACTGACAATGTGCCCGATCGGCAATGTAACCGGGAGCTTTTCCTTGACCTTGCTTTGGGATGCTGGTATGTTGATCATTCCGAGACACGAGCCCTGCATGACTTACGGAGTATGGTCACCGTCTTCTGGATGACTTTCCCGACTGTGGTGGAAAATTGGCCATGGCGATAATAGTCAACAATTAGTCTGCAGCTGAAAGACATCTCCAACGGACGATCAGAAATGTCTGAGAGTGTGAGATGGAAGCCGTTTTCTGTATTACCCTAACCCCGAGGTAATGAATGAAGAAGGAAAAGAACTGGAAATTCGAGATGACCTCCCTCTTGACACAGCCCTATGGCTCCGGAGCCAACGATACCGAGGACCGAGTAACGAACTCCCCAACGGCTCGTGTTTTCACATTTTGCCTCCGCGAACCTGCAGTTCCAGGTTGTCCATACGAAGAAGAATTGGGTCAGACGCCAGGACCAGCACTTGGGTCATGCGAGCTCTTCGTTCTCTGTGTGGAGACTTGCATATGCCTGGCAGCAACCCCCCATCCCATCATGCCCATGTGTGTGCCGGGGCCTCGTATTCGCCCGTCCGGCAGCTGCCGCGAAGGCCTTTTTTTAGGCCTGCACCGCCGCGGTGCTTCAGATGCCATCCTCCAGTCATCAGGCGCCGCAACACACATCCTCGAGTGGGCGGCAAGAAAAAAAGGAGGGAGAGAGCATGATGGCGTGGTCTCTGGAGATTTGTCGGCGACACTGCTGTTGATAGACTGAAAGCCGGGCAAGCTTGTTGCCGCTCTGGGATCATGGCCCAAGTCCGGGCGCAATGCGTAACTATGCAAGGGTCACGAATTCCATGTTTATGCACGTAACTATTGTCCTGTGTATAATTGCAACAAATTGTAGAAATTGTTCGAGTGCCAAAAAGCATGGATTTTCGAGCCGCCGCGACTGAGCGACGGCCATTCCAGGCCCAATCCGGCCAGACGCCCAGAATTTGTCGCGGCACATCATGCAAATCCCGACCCACAACCACCCACAACCTGGAAGCCAACACCTTGCTTGGCGTAACTGCGCACCTGGTAGATTTCGTCCACCGTAGCCAAACTCGGACGACCGCCGCAATGGATCTTTTCTCAGCGGCACCCCTGGGGCACCACTTTGCCTCTGCCTCATTGCCAGTTGCAAGCTGACCGCGGCTGCAAACACACCTTCGTTTGTGCCTATCTTTTTTTTTGGTCGTTGCTTCCCTCGTTGCCTCTTCCGAAACCGTGTCACTCGCTCTGACGGTTTTTGGATTTTGCTTTTCTCTTTCCCCGGGTCGATCGTTGAGACCGAAGAATCTTGGGAATACTCTTTTTTCCCAGGGTCTGTCTTCATTCTTGCTTGCCTGGGAAAGGGGCACCGGGGGGCTCAGTGTTCCTTCGTCCGTTGCCGCCGCGACCAGCCCGCATCCCACGCCAAAACCCCGACTACACGCAATCACGTACGAGTTGGGTATCCGGCAACACTCGCTAGTTCAACATCAATATCAGTCCATCTTCACCGTATTAGTTGCTGCAGCGCGTTCAAACGACCCTCAGCGTTGTGCAGTCGGGGAATTGGGTCACTGTTGATATCACCGCTGGATTTGGGGAAAACCCGAACACATCCCGCGTTGGCCGGCTGAACGAAACCGCTCTCGGCCGTGTCCCTCTCGGGGCGCTGCAACGCACACCTCGCCAACATGGCGAACCGCATGTCCGTCTACTCGATGGCCTCGGAGCCTGGCCTGACCGGCTCTAGGGGCGGCCAGCAGTCTGCCCAGGTCTCGACAACAACGTTGCTGAACTCGATTCACAACATCTACCTTTCCTCCCAACCATACCAGCTTGACGCGGGGACAAGTCTCGTAGTCAACACGTGGCTCACGGCCTCGCAGCCCGGGCAAAATGGAGTCATTGGCGGCACGATAGACACCGATCTCGTCACAAGGGCTTGGGAACATGCCCGCCGCCGTGCCGAAGATGGTTGCATCATCTTTGGGTGAGTTGCCCCTCGTCAAGCACCCGAAAACGTGATTTGGTTCGTGTGGTTGCTAACAATCGCCAGCTCTCTCCATACATCTACCCCCTCCCTTCTCCGACCTGCGCTCTCGTCCCTCCCTGTATCCATCCCGAGTTCGATCCTCCAATCCCTGCAGGCTATCGAGCCTTTCCTCCGATGCGTGACACCGTACAACCCGTCAACACCACGAGAAATTGCCCTAGGTGTCACTTTGACTCTTAACCTCACCGGCAGGGTAGTCGGTGCATCAGTGGCCTTGTCACAGGGCGGGATCGACACCGACAAGGGTTTGCTCCGCATCCCCGCTGAGGCGGGCAACCGTGCCTTTGACGTCTTTTACTATCTCCTTACATCGGCCTCTACCCCGGCCGAGCGGGAATTTTTGGGTCTCAAGGGCGCGTCCAGCTATAATTTGCTAGCTCGCTCTGGCACCTATGACCCTCCGTCCTACCTGCCCACCGCCGACGATGGTGCCGCGGCCGACGACTTCCGGTCTGCCTTGAAGGAGATTGGCATCAAGGGATCTGCCCACCGCAACTTCATCTCCACCCTTGCCGGCCTCCTGAAGCTGGGCAACACTGTTGACTACAACGTTGACGGGGATGTCTTGGACGAGATCAGCGAGGATGTCGGTGGGCTTCTTGGCCTGGAGCCCGAGGTTCTCGCGAGGCAATGCACCACGGAGGACCGCGCTACGTTTGTCGGGGGCCTTTATGAAGCATTGGTGGATTGGGTCATCAAGAAGGCCAACGAGGCCATCGCCGCCCAAATGGGTCGGATTAGGGACGGAGAGGAATCGGCAGACGGCAGCCAGGTCGGCGGGGCACCCAACCCCGTTGAGGACACCGGAGATACCGTATGCCTTCATTTCCTCGAAATCCCCGACCCAAACCTGGGGAAGGCCGTCGCTATGCGGGGTATTTTCGATGACAACCAAGGCATCAACTCCGAGATGAAGCAGGACGGCGTCGAAATTCCCGCTGCCAACAGCTCTGTTCTACGGGAGATGCAGAGCGCTGTCGCCGAAGCAGGTCCTGAATTGGGCATCATGGTTGGGTCGCTTGGTAGGGAGAGGCAACACATGCTCGAAAAGCGGGAGGAGGTCCTCGAGAAGATTGCGCTCGCCTCCGAGGACGATGGGGTTTTTGAAACAGCTGCTCATTCCCGTACCCGCCGAGGGTATCAACCTCGGTCGCGGCGGCCGTTTTGACCTGCCTGCCATGCTTAGCACAAGTCGGGCGTGGTATCATCTCTGCATCCACCCGACCGATGAGTCGCCAGCTAACCTGGCGGCTCTGCCCTCGGTCAACTCGGCGTGGTCGGCCGGCACTGTCTCGAGACAACTCCGGTCCTGGCGGCTTCCAGAGTGGTCCAACCGGCGGAACAAGCGCCTCGATTACACCGTCGATTTCGATTTTGAAGAGTTTGTGGCCCGCTACCGTATGTTAGGGTGCATGGATGGCCGCGACGGTATCGGGAGTTGGATTCTCGAACGTGGCTGGGCCAATGGCGAGGTGGTGATCGGCCGCGAGCGCGTGTGGATGCGGGAGAGTGCTTGGTGGGAGGTTGAGGGCGTGATGGATATGAAACCTGGGGATGCCGAGAGACTCGGGAGCATGCCTAATATGATGCCTCCTGGTGGTCTCGCCACCGGCTATTCTGCTGCCGGAAACGGCTACTTCCCCCCGCAGCCATTCCAGGACGCCTCCTCCAACGGGAGCCGCGAGCACCTGGTCCACCAGAGGAACATGAGCCAGGCGACCTTAGGCGGCGGGGTTCGTCCCATGATGGCCCCATCCATCGCGCCTACCGCCGTGACCGGTATGCGTAACGTCGTCGCCGGCGACTACGGTCTTGGCCACAAGGGCGACACTCACAAACAAGACGCCTACTACGACGCCGACGGCCAGTTGGTTGGCCTCGAAAGCGATCTCGCGGCCAACAAAAAGATCGAGGAGCAGCCCATCTCTGCTGGGAGAAGGGCGTGGGTAATCATCGTTTGGGCACTGACTTTCTGGATCCCGTCGCCTCTTCTCCATTACGTCGGACGCATGAAGCGGCCCGACGTGCGGATGGCGTGGCGGGAGAAGCTCGTCATCTGTTTTATTATCGCGCTTCTCAACGGTATAATTGTCTTCTGGATTATCTTCTTTGGTAAACTGCTCTGCCCCGACTACGACAAGGCCTGGTCCCGGAACGAGGTTAAGAACCATCAAGGAGCGGATGATTTCTGGGTCAGCGTCCACGGCAAGGTCTACGACATCTCCAAGTTCTGGAAGTTGGAGCACGGCACCCCTGCTTACGAAACCACGCGCGAAAACATGGAGCCCCTGGGTGGCCTGGATATGGACAACTACTTCATCGTGCCGCTCACCCTGGCATGCCCTGGGCTAGGCATCAAGGATGAGACGATCCGGCTCGAGCTCAACAACACGGACTCGCAGGAGTGGCAGCTGGCCATCCACGATTCTGGTCACTATGCCAGGGACCCCACTGGCTCCATGGGGAAGGTCGACTGGTATTCCAAGAAGTTCTTGCCGCGCATGAAGGAATACATCACCGGAGAACTTGTCTGGGATCCAAACCAGATCAAGAGAGAAGGTGATGATGACCAGCGCCCGTGGTTCATCTGGGAAAACAGAATCTATGACTTGACCGACTACGTGAAGACCCAAAAGGTCCATCGCGACCATCCCAACTGGGCCTTTTTGCATCCTAAGGTTGTGAGCACCATCAAAAACAACCCCGGCCAAGACCTTACCGAGCAATTCGCCAAGATTCTTGACGATGCGAATTCCACCGAAACGGTCAACATCAAGAACACTTTCAACTGCCTCAACAACCGGTTCTACCTGGGCATCACGGACTACCGTGAGACGGCCAGGTGTCAGTTCAACAAGTGGATTCTCATTGCCTTCACCATCGTCATCTGCGCCGTGATCCTCATCAAATTCGTGTCGGCCCTCCAGTTCGGTTCTAAGAAACGCCCCTCCCCCCAGGATAAGTTCGTTATCTGCCAGGTGCCGGCGTACACGGAAGGCGAAGACTCGCTGCGGCAGGCGCTTGATTCTCTCACTGCCTTGCAGTACGACAATAAGCGGAAGCTGATCTGCGTTATTTGTGACGGTATCATCGTCGGTGCCGGAAACGACCGTCCCACTCCCAAGATCGTCCTGGATATCCTCGGCGTGGACCCGAAGGTTGACCCGCCCGCACTAGCGTTCAAATCGGTTGGCACGGGAGGCGAGCAGCTCAACTACGGCAAGGTCTACTCTGGCCTGTACGAGTACGAAGGCAACGTGGTCCCCTACCTTGTTGTCGTCAAGACGGGCAGGGAGTCGGAGCGTGAGAAGACCAAGCCCGGCAACCGCGGCAAGCGTGACTCGCAGATCCTGCTCATGAGCTTCCTCAACCGCGTCCACCACCGCGCTCCCATGAATCCCCTCGAGCTGGAGATGTTCCACCAGATCAACAACATCATCGGCGTGGATCCCGAGCTGTACGAGTATCTCCTGATGGTCGATGCCGATACCAATGTCCGCGAGGACTCCCTCAACCGTCTTGTTGCGGCCTGTGCCAACGACGCAAAGATTGCTGGTATCTGTGGCGAGACAAGCTTGCAGAACGAGGAACGCTCGTGGTGGACTATGATCCAAGTCTACGAGTACTACATCTCGCATCATCTCGCCAAGGCCTTCGAGTCGCTGTTCGGTAGCGTTACCTGCTTGCCGGGATGGTATGTATTCCTTCTTGTGTTCGACACCTTGTTTATCTGACTGACCGTTTGTAGTTTCTCCATGTACCGGCTGCGGACGGCTGACAAGGGCAAGCCTCTGATCATCTCCGACGACATCATCCGCGACTACAGCGACTGCAATGTTGACACGCTCCACAAGAAGAACCTGCTGTCGCTCGGCGAGGATCGTTACTTGACCACCCTCATGACCAGGTACTTCCCCTACATGTCGTACAAGTTCATCCCCGATGCCTACTGCCAGACCGCGGCACCCGAGAAGTGGAGCGTCTTGCTGTCTCAGCGTCGTCGCTGGATCAACTCCACCATCCACAACCTGATGGAGCTGATGTTCATCCCCGAACTGTGCGGTTTCTGCTTCTTCTCCATGCGCTTCATGGTGTTCATCGACCTCTTTGGCACCATCACCCTCCCAGCAACATGCGTTTACCTCGGCTGGCTTCTGTACACGGTCATCACCCGCACCGGCCCGTTCCCCTTGATTTCCGTCATTATGTTGGCAGTCGTGTACGGCCTCCAGGCCCTGATCTTTATCCTCAAGCGCCAGTGGCAGCACGTTGGTTGGATGATCATCTACATCATTGCCTTCCCGGTATACTGGCTCATCTTGCCCATCTACTCGTTCTGGAACCAGGACAACTTCTCGTGGGGTAACACGCGTATCGTTATTGGCGAGTCTGGCAAGAAGCAGGTGGTTGCCGTTGACGATGAAGGTTTCGACCCGCGGTCTGTGCCACTCCAGCGCTGGGATGATTACGCCCTCGCCAACAATCTCCCCGGCCGGCGCGGCGGCCACTCGGAGAAGCACGGCATGGACGTCAACGTGGGCATGTACGATGAGAACTACGAGATGGACGACATGAAATCCGTCTACTCCTCGGTCCGCCAGCCCTCCGTCCTTACCGGGTCTCCCCGGCCGCGGCGGCGTGGGCGCTTACATGCCCCCCCACCCCGGGCACCCCAGGCACTCCTTTTACCCGCACTAGCACTTTTCAGGGCGCAACAACCCCCTACGTGGACAACCCCAACCTCGCTCACCGCCAAAGCATGATGTCGATGGGCGCCGACCAGCGCCGTTCGCACACGCCCTACGCCGACTACCCGCGTAGCAACAGCGGCCGCCAATCTCCGCGGTAGCATGAGCGGCACCCCGGCCCGCTGGGCCTCGGGCGTCCCCGGAAACATGGCGATTAACAACCGGCCTCCTCGATGGCGTCGGGCACGCCGAGCAGGCTGGGCATGCACCCGGACATGAGCTCGGGCTCTTTCGGCGCCATGGGCATCACCCCGCCCGCGGGCCTCATTGACGACGGCTCCATCATCGAGGCCATTCAGGCCGTCCTGCGCGAGGTCGACCTCGACACCGTCACCAAGAAGCAGGTGCGCGCCCTGGTCGAGCAGCGCCTACAGACGGAACTCACGGGCGAGAGGCGCACGTTTATGGACAGGCAGATTGATAATGAGTTGGCGAATATGTGATCTGCCATTAATAAGGAATGTTTTGTGGGATAGATGGGGGTTTTTCTTTTTACTCTTGTCTTGTCCTCTTTTTTTTGGTTTGGGGTTTGGATTGCCTTGCTTGGCCTGGGACTGGATTGGATTGAATTGGATCCGAGCCCTTGAGATCTTGCTCTGCCTCTCTCTCTCCACCCCTCTCCCTCTGGCTGTCTCTGTACGTCTGTTTTGGGGATTTTGTTGACTTGGTTAATACTACTACTATTATTACCACTACTAGTAACTTCAAACTTTGTGTTTTCCTTGGGCCGTAATTGCCTTGTGTTGGCTCTGTCTATTTGGTGTCGTCGCATGGGGTGTTGTATGTAATGAGGGTTAGCATTAGCATTAGCATTATTAGCATTGTTCTCTGGTTTGATTGATGGTAGTCGACTTGGTCGGTGCTGGGTTTTTGATCGCACACGGTTTACCGGTGTCAGACTTGAATCTGAAACCATGGTCGTAGTTTTTAGACAAAATTCTCCCTCATCGTGGTACGCCCGACACGGGTATGGGAACGACCGACAAATGACTTATAACAGCAGGATGAACGCCAACAACATTCTATTTCTACCGTACAACCAACCAACCAATCGACAACCATTTATTATTTACTTCCTCCTCTTCCCCCCACCACCCCCCGAATCACCCGGCTTCCGCTTGCGCCCCTCGCGCTCCCCAATACGCCTTATTCTCCCTGCGCTCCTTGTTCTCCAGCCGCTCCTCAATCCCCGCGATCTTCTTCTTGTACTCCTCGCGCTTCTCGTCCTTCTTCGCCTTGCGCTTGGCGACCTGCTCCTTGCGCACAGTAGTAAGCTTCTGCATGAGGTCACGGGCCCTTGCGCTCCTCGCCGCCGCCGACGGTGACGACGGCGCGTTTCTGCATGTACGTTTCCTTCTTCTGGGCTTTGGTGCGCACGAGCTGCGACTTGAAGGGCAGGCTGGCGGCGACGGCCTTGGGCACGCGCAGCGGGTTGAAGTGGCGCGTCGGGCGCTCGATCTTGCGGTACTGGCTGTTTTTGAGGAGCGGGGTAGCCAGGTCCTGATCGCGGCGGATCTCGCCCGTCGACCGCATGCTCTGCCAGCCGATGAGGTTGGTGGCTGGGTTGTAGAAGCGGTGCGGCTTGATCGGGTACCAGGCGCGGAGGAAGACGATGTCGCTGAGCAGGATCTTGTCCTCGAAGGTGGCGCGGAAGTGGCCGTCTGGTTTGGCGAGGGCGCGCTTGATCTGGCCACGGATGCCTGAGACGGTCTTGATGGCGGCGCCTTCGAACTTGGCGATCTCGAGGGAAGAGTTGAACATATCCTTGATAAAGGCCGTGTTCTTGAATATCTTGTACGGTGTGCCGGTCTGTGGCGTGTTAGTATGGATATTGGTAGTTCATCAGAAGGGTTTACGCACAAGCTTAAGCTTCTTGACGATCTCGGTAGATTCGTCAACGCTCAATACCGTCCCCGTTGCGGCGATCCGGAAGCCCGGGTTGGAGGACGAGAAGGACTGGAAACAGGCGAAACCTGTGTTGGGTGCAATCAAGGGCCCGTAGAAGGTGCCGAAGCAGTGCATGTGCTCAGGGGTGTACTTGAGCATCCTGTTCCGCGTCCGGGAGTCCGAGATGGAGTAGATGGGGAGTGATTGGAACCGCCGCCAGCCGAGCGAGAAGATAAGGGGGTCGCCCGTTTTGACTGTGAAAAGAATTAGCATTGCAATGGCCCACGGCTTTCGGTTAACACTTACGGATCTTCTTGTGCCACCGATGCCTCTTGATCCTGACCTGGACAAACCCAAACCTGTCCTCCGTTGGCGACAAACCACCCACAATGATGGGCAGCCGCGCTTGGAACCGGTTGACGAACTCGGCCGGGACGCCTTCGAGGACCAACTTGGCGTACTTGCCGGCTCGGAGGCCCTCAACGGCCAACCGCTGGCTCTCGTCGAGCTCCTCAAACTCGGCCTTGTTGATGTCCTGCTGCTTCTGCAACATGGCCTTTTGCGCGTCGTACCACTCGTCCTCGGCGAAATCTTGATCGCCGCCCTCTCTCCTCGACACGGCCTTGTCGTTTTTGAAGCCCTCGCGATCCTCCTCCTCGAACCGGAGCCTGAGTTCTTCTTTACGGCGGGCGTTCTTTTCTCGCTCCGCTTCCAAGTTCTCTTCAGGCTCCTCTTCGCTCTTCTCCTCTTCGCTCTTCTCCTCATCCTGTTCCAAACCATGTGACTCTCCTGTTTCCAGATCCTCGAAGGCACCGTCACCCTCATCGTCTTCATCCTCATCCCCAAAACCATCCTCGTCATCCTCGCCGAATTCTTCGTCACCACCATCCTCATCAACTAAATTAGCTGTGGCGAACCTGCTGCGGAGGGCTTCGACAGCATCCTCGTTCGACCATCTCGCAGCTAATTCTTCATAGTCGAAACGAGGTATCGACCGGTCTTCGACTAAATCCTCCTTATCGTCGTTTCCTGTCCTCCGGAAAAAGGTGTCGTCGTCCTGCTCGATATCCTCTTCCACTTCCTCATCCTCCTCACCCTTCCACTTTTGGAGCGCTTCCTTTGGTGTCAGGGTCGTATCGTACATAAACCTAGCAAGGTCTACTGCCCGGTAAGGGCGTCTTTTCCCGTGGAGCATCTTTGCCCGCTCCATCATGTTGTCTTTCCACCTGACAGCTGCGCCCTCTTCGTCGGAGTCAAACTCCTCAGCCTCGTCGTCCTCGTCCTCATCCGGACCGTCTTCTCCGGACAAGGAACCCAGATCAGAGTCGCTATCGGCGAAGGCAACGTCATCCCCTTGGTCTTTATCGGCCTGTTTCCGGAACATTTTGCCCAACTTTTGCTCGTCGAACTCGGCCTCGACATCGGACCCCTCCTCCTCTTCCTCGCCGCTAACGAACCCCTCGTCTTCAGGCATGTCCCCTTCGTCATCAGAGGCACCCCGCTCAAGGAAGCGAGCTGTTCTTTGGCTTTTCCTCCCGCTGTCAGCCTCCTCCGGGACCTCGGCGATCTGTTCCCCGGTTGCGAAAAGTTTGACGCCCTTGTCAGTGTAGCCGAGAAGCCTCCTTTCGGCCTGAAGATCAACAATAAGCTGCTCGCCTTCGCCGCGCTCGACACCCTCAGCATCCTTGTCGAAAGCAAAACCCTTCTCCCGAGTGATGACGATGTGGTCGCCAGTAATCTTCATGCCGCTCCGGTCGGCCATGGGGGCCCACAGCCTTTTGTCCTTCTCGTCCAAGCGCCTCCTGCCCGTTTTCCCGGTGATTTTGGCGAGCGCCTGGTCCATGGCGGGTGTCGGACAAGGGTCAGGTAGTACCTCCATACTGGATATTGTGAAGTCTCCCAGGCCAGCAATGTGTACTCTCTGCCCTTGGGCGGCGAAGTTGGTGCCGCGCAAGTAGCCAGAGAGTTCAATAGACCGGTCGCAATTCTCATCCTCCTCAATCTTGGTGGGGTGGGTGATGTCTCGGTAGTTGTCGATGATGGTGTACGGATGCGAGTTTCTCCACACGAGCGGTCGGGGGTTCTTCATAACGGATAGGAAGCGGGAGAGGTTGTGGAATTCGCGGTCGGGGTAGCGGCCGTTCAGGACGCCGGAGAGGTAGAATAGATGGGCGCCCTGGTAGAGCTCACTCCATAGCCTGTGCTTTAGCCTCTTCTTGGCATCCTTGAGTGCCTGCGGTTTCCTGAACAGGTCGAGGTGGGTGAGGATACCAAAGACGTTGCCCGGCATACCCGTGGCGGCGAGGATGTTGAGGAACTCCATCGTCTCCATCTCGAAGCCGTAGTTCCCGTCAATCATCAGCAACACAATGTCAGCCACCTTCGCAATGTCGACCATCGCTTCTAGCTCGTTCGGGCACTCGATGAAGGTCAACCGTTGTTTCTTAGAGGTGACGACCGTGATAGGCCCCACCGGGTCCGAGATGGTTTCTTTCGCATAGCGGCGGATCAGGGACTTGCTATTCGGTCATCCATATTAGCGACCCATGTCTCCCGTGTGTAAAGAACCAAGGGGATATTCACAGAAGTGTAGTTTTTCCTACGCCCGGGGGACCGACAATGGTGACAAGTCGCGGGGGGGGGTCATCGGGCAGGCGGTCGACGAGAGGAACGTGGAGGCGCTTCTCTTTGATCTAGGGTATGTCGCGTTAGTGCCGGGGCCTCTGAACATGCGCCAGGGAGGAGCGAAGGCGTACATCGTGGGAGCGCGCCGCTTGTTTCGCGAGCTTGCCGGGGTTGGAAAAGGCGAAGGCTTTTGGATTTTGGCCTGAAGTTGCGCGCGCTGCTGTTAGTTGGAATAAAGCTAGCGGATGGAAAGATGAAATACTGACCTCCTTGATGTTGTGTCTTCTTCTCCTTGGACTTCTTGGACGCCCGGTGAGGCTTATGTGCTTGCCCGTCCATGTTGGGACCCCTTTTCTGCTGCGTCGAATGGTCGCTGCACCAAATGCGAGTCGAGTCGCAATAGCCTCTCGCCTCAATCCAATTCCTCGTGCAGAGCTCCAGAAATTTTTGGGCGGCAGGCGGGCGCGATAAGCGATAAGCTTATCGGAATTGACCCCACATGTGATGGGCAGGCACCAGATGCCCAGCCGCCCATCCGATGAGCAGGTCACGTGAGAGTCATATGAGAAGATCGGCAGGCCGTGGGCCCCTTCCCCTTTCATAGGGTGTGGCGAGAAAGGGGAGAGAGTAATGGGCTTGTGCGAGTTAGAGGCTAAGTGACTTCGATTCGGATGTAGTTAGTGTGCTTAGGCCCTATAGGCTTAGTGCCTCCGGGCGAAATAAATTCCATCCATCCAACCCTTCCCCTTTCGGACTCCTTTTCTCCTCCTCCCTCAAACCAGCTGTGGACCACGATTCAGTTGCACTGTGCAATGTACGACAACGTAAGAGAGGGTTAGATAAAATGAAATCTAGCAGAATTCAATTCCATGACACTCGAGTCGGAGATGATTCCCAAGTCGTTGGTTGGCGTATAATGCCTCCGGATACCCCCCGAATCTAGTACGAGATTCGAGGCACAAGGCGCGGGGCTCCCGAAGCTAAGCGTAACGTTAGTGGATAGAAACAGCCTGAAAGTTCATGCCTTACCGGGCTGGTTGCGGGCACCACTGTCACACGACTCAGAGCTGAGCTGCTGAGTTGCCAGACGCATGACGTATGCCCCTCTTCTGTGATCCTCACATGCCGCGTCACGCAAACTGGGCCTCCAACTCGGCCCAAACAAGAAGCTGCGAAATTGTTGGTGTTATAAGTAGCAGCCAACGCCCAACTCTCGAGAAGCGCCTACTCGTTCCCCAAGTCTCACGGATCACTTGCATCCACGAAAACCCACAGACAATTCCACCAAGTAACCGCAACAACAACCACATAGGCCAGAAGCAACCATGCCTTCCTACATTGTATGCCATCTCCCGCGGCATATTCACACGTTTTACCGGCGATGCTGACAGAATGACACAGGTAACCTGCAAGACGGACGCCAGTAAGGACCAGGTCGAGGCGTAAGAAACCCTTCTAACTACCATCCTTGTCAGATCCTAATACGGTGCAGGGCCAAGCAGCATGCCCGCGACCAAGGCGGCCAGATCGGGCACGAGTACGATCTGATCAAGGGCTTCCAGTAAGAGACCTCCAACCAGTTACCGCCGACAAAGCGCGACAACGCTGACGGAATAACGCGCAGGGTCATCTTCCCCGAGGACACTGTCCACACAATGGATAGCCACGAAAGTGTCAAAGCCGTCGAGGAGGACGGCGAGGTTCGAACCCAATAGCGGAATGACAGTGCGGGGCATGATGGTGGGGCAGGCGGGGTGGTGTTGTTGAACTGAGCTGAGCGACTTCGGCACTCATCAAGGTGCTGAGTTGACAGTGAGACAGTCAAGCCTCTACCAATTGGGGGGGGCTATTTATTATCGTAGCTGATTGGACTGTGCTATCCTTTGGTCGACCGACGATATGATCATCTGTCCACCACTCTGCTGAGAACTTGCATTAGCTTTCCTTTATTTTTACCAATGCTTCTCGATTAATGTGTGGACTCTGCTGTTCTTGCCATTCCCTTGGTCGGTTCTGCAGCATGGGTTGCTTCCTGCGAAGTCTGCTCCCTTCCTTTTCGAACTTCTCCAGGGAGCAAAGGCGGTGACCCAATGTGGTTGAACACTGTCGTCATAGCCGCCGGCTCGGTGGAGATTGGTTTCTCATTCAACCCTGTTTGATGCTCCTGACATGTGCGTCGAGGAAGAGTCACATCAACCCTCAACACCGCGGCCTACGGTGTAAATCCAAACGCTTCGGCGTTTTATTCTTGCTTTTATATATGCATCTCCGAGCACCAGCTAGTCAATCCCATCCGCTCGCTCATGCCTCATTCGACCTAGAAATCGCCCCCATCTAATTGCCCCGCGATTTTTATCGTTCTTGACTCTGCCCTTCTGCGCAAGCCAATATGTCAACATGAGGTACCCGATTTTCAGGCCGCTGTGCTTTAACCCCAGCCATGCCCGAGGATTCGATCACGCCCGGCGAGCATCCTCGACCCTACAAAATTTAAAGGATGCCTCGGTCGCCCACCACAAACCACAAAGCCATCCCCAGCGCGACCGCGAACGGCGCCGCTATGATCACGATGTCGTCCCTCACTTAGCAAGGCAACCATTGCATCCCCTGAGCCTCGTCGATCTAGTCAAGTAATTTCCCATGCCCTCTTCCCCCGCCCCTTCCGTAGTTGCTGACGGTGTTTGTTTTACCCAGACACGGCCGCCCTCCCCTCTCCGCCGAAGCCTTGTTGGCATCGGCCCGCTTCACACTTTCGCTGTTGCCGATACGACTGGCACATCGCATACAAGCGCTACGCAACCTCCCGTACATCGTCGTTTCAAATCCAAACATCAGCAAAATCTACAACAACTACCAACATTCGCTCTCGACTCTGCTACCATGGCAAGGGCGCACCATCAGCAACCTGGAGGACGAGATACGCTTTACCGAGGTGCTAGCTGAGCTAGTGCAGACGCACACCGATACCATTCCCATCCTCGCCCGCGGCTTCCTCGAGTGTCGCAAGTACATATCGCCCTCCGAGGTGACCCGCTTCCTCGACCAACATCTACGTGCCCGTATCGGCACGCGCCTCGTCGCCGAACAGCACATTGCCCTACATTTTAGCAGCACGCCGCACTTCGACCCGGCTTCGAGCCCAACCCCGTGCCCGGAACACCCCAGTTACATCGGCGTGATCGACACCGCCCTACGTCCCGCCTCCACCATTGACTCGTGCGGCGGCTTCGTCGCCGACATCTGCGAGCTCAACTACGGCGTCCGCCCGCAGTGGGTTGTCGACGGCGAGCCGGACACCACCTTTGCCTTTATACCCATGCACCTCGAGTATATCGTCACGGAGCTGCTCAAGAACGCGTTCCGCGCGACCGTCGAAAACGGCATGAACCGCGAGCCCGTCGTCATCACAATCGCCCCAGAACCGCCCGATGTCAAGCCAGTCCGCCACCAACACCACCAACAACAACAGCAAAACCAGGTCCACCTCGCCCCCCCGCATGAAGACCGCGGCGTCTTTAGCCGCGACGCCATCGCTCCGCTGGACGATAACGCCCCCGGCGTGACCATCCGCATCCGCGACCGCGGCGGCGGCATCAGCTCCGACGTCTTGCCGCACATCTGGAGCTACTCCTTCACCACCTTCAGCGATTCGGACGACGACGTCCCCGGGGGCAGTAATAGCAGCAGCAGCAGCATGTTTAGTGGCGGCAGCTACGGTGACGCTTTGAACGTTATTTCAGCCGCCAGCAACGGCAGTAGTTCTATTGCCGGTCTAGGCTACGGACTGCCCTTGAGCCGCGCCTATGCCGAATATTTTGGCGGTGGTATCGGGGTGCAGAGCCTGCATGGGTGGGGGACTGATGTATATTTACGGCTGAAGGGGGTGGGCAAGATTGAGTGAGTCTACTGTTTTTGCTTCATTTGATGAAAGGTAGTATACCTGGAAGGATCTCCTGCTTGCGGCGGATCGAACCCTTCTCAAGGCAGAATGCTGATATAAGAACGGGGTCAGGCAAGAAACGACGGCTGTGAGGAAGGCACAAGGTGGTGGTGGTAAGGACTAAGCAAACGGGAAGAGGATGCATGGGCTATATTTACACAAGAGGAAGACCACAGTTGAGTTTACCGGCGTTTTTGGCAGAGGGGCATAGGATATGATAACCACCGCGTTGTGGATTAGCGGAGGGATTCAGCGGAAGGGAGACCGGAGTCATTCCCATTAACATATCCCACAACTGGTTTCGCAGCTGGCGACTGCAACATTTGCACACGAGGTAAACAGGTCAACAACGATAACCATTCCGCCAATTACTGGATCATTAACCATGAAATATATTCCCGGCGCACATTCTTCGACCGACCCCGAAATGAGAAACAAACGACGCCAATAATACGTCTGGGCAGTGAACGCCACGCTTCCCAACCCGGGAATATGGCAAAAACTTACAAACAACCAAGGACTGGGGCCTTTGGGATCTCAGTTCTGGATGGCGAGGGGTACTTGTCTCGCGGGCTCGGAAAACAGTTATCGCTCCCGAGACAAGACCGTTTCCGAGCTGCTTTCCAAGACCGGACTGCCATTGTGTAGGGCTGCATTCGAGCTGAGGGGGGTGGGCAATATGCACACAATATCAACTTTGTCACACTTGGTCGCTGGGGGGCCGAGACCCGACGGTGCTCGCTTTGACCGAATGCTCATGACGGCGTTGTTGCTCAGCTTTGCTTTGAACTTCTTCCCCACACAGGATAATAAGCTCGGCCTGCCTGCCATCTCGCAATATATCGGTCTCTGATTTGTTGAGCACCGAGGTGGCTTACGGTGGTTCATGGATGGACCTGGATATCCGTCTCCCACACCCCAATCATACTCGACTGGGCGTGTTGGAAAAGTTGCACCGAGTTATGCACATACGCCTAGATCCGTGACATTTTCGCTGCTGCGGATGGCACTGCCAAAAACGGTTTGCTTGTGCGCCACGTCGTCATGCTGGGGGCCCGACACAGATCGCCAGGATCGCCAGGATCGCAAAGTTCGTTGTGACCAAACATCCAACACCTCCCAGATTTACCTCAACACCAACATGCGGAACAGTATCACCCGGATGCTTACGCAGGTAAGCCGCTAAGGGCTACCTACATAAGGGCGACATAAGGGCTACATATAAACAATATGCTGCCGACAAAGGCGACAATGCTAGCGAGAGACGCTACCAGGCTGAAGCCAATCGCACTGTTAGCAAAGAGAACATCACTTCCGTCCGAAAGGCCCCGGAGCGGCAGGCCCCTCAAACGGTTCTGCATCCCGCCCAGGAACCATTGCATCAGCCTCTGAGCAAGGGCCGCCGAGGACAGTGTTCTAGAGCGAGCGCACGGAATGGGAAGCTGGAATGTCGCCCCCTCTTTCAACGACACCGCCAACGCCACATGCTGCTTCGCGAACAAGCCCTCTCTTCCTGCGGCAGACGCCGCTAAGCCTCTAGGCTGGTTGGCTTGAAGACGCTCTCCTAGGGAGCCATGTGTCTCGCGGTGGGGTTTCAACGGCTAGCGATGGCCGCTTCGTGATGGCAAACAAAGGACGCGCAGGGATACCTACCGACGCCCAATACCTCTTTTGGCTCTTTGTCCGCCCGCCGCGGAGTTCCCCTTGGAGCAGCTGCACACTTAAAGCCTTCTTCGCACCGGGCATTGCTCACGAAACCAGGCGGGACTCGAGCTGCCCTGGTCTGTTAATCTGTTTAAAGTCAATGTTTGTTTTACCCAGCAGCATGCAATCGATCGACGCCACAAGCAGGCCCGTATCCCCCAAAACCATCATCCCTCGCCACGGCTGCGGCACCGAGGAAGCCCGGTCGAGGCCCCTCCTCCGTCTCAGCACCACCATGCCGCCCGCGAAGCCCAAGTCTACGGGCTCCTACCAACCTATATCGCCAACAACCACCTACACGCAGACCGTCCCGGCCCTCGACCCCCGGACGCTGGAAGACCTGCACCGCGAGCGGTCCTACCTCCTCCACAACCTCCATAAGCAGGAGGTCCGCGCAACACGGTTATTCCACCGCTACGCAGCCGTCGAAGCGCGCCTCGCAGCCGCCGCCGCCTCCTCGTCTTCAGAGTCGAGACGGTGCCGGAAAGAGGCCTCGTTGGTCCGGGCCAAGATTGCCGAGAGCACCCAGCAGGAGCAGCTCCTCCATCTTCGTCTGGGCGAGATCCACGTTGAGCTGCAGAACAGAGAGCGTTGGCTGCTCGTCCACCAGCACCAGCACCAGCCAGCCGCCCAGCCGCCGGTCACTTACTCGCCCATCACCCGCCTACTCCCCCATCACCGCCTACTCCCCCATCACCGCCTACTCCCCCATCACCGCCTACTCCCCCATCACCGCCTACTCCCCGATAGCGACCTACTCCCCAATAGCGACCTACTCCCCCCTCGCCACCCACCCCCCAGCCCCCTTAACTTACCTGAGTCTTTTGGGGAGAAAGCGTGCAGCCCTCCCATCGGCAATGTTACTTTAAAGAATGTTTGGTAAACTTGCACCAGAATGAGACAGGCCGTTAAACGCTCGGAACCA